TGTTTCTGAAGCAGCTTCCTAGTTTGTAAATAGATTTACCTGTTATATTTTTATTTGGGGGGGAAAAATTGCAGACATGTAAGTAAAGCCATTCTGCAAATCTGTATAGCTTTGACAATTGCATATTGTAAATATTGTGTAAACATTGTTGAAATAGAGGTTAAATCAACCCAATGTTCTTAACACTGTGTTTTTTTACTTCTTATGATACCTAATTCTGAGGCTTATTTATCTGGAATAGTTTCTCACTGTTGGGGGGAAATAATGTTTTTCCTTATAAATTGCCTTCAGTAACTGTCCAACGAGACATTTAAAGACATAGCCACTAAATAGTACAAAAGTGATAACCACCTCCAATGGTAGTAAAGCAACCAGAAAATAACAGTTTGGGGGATTTTCTATAGTGAATACTTTATCACCCCTTCTTACAATTACAGTAAAGATTATATTCCTGAAATTTATACTTCTGGTCATTCTGGTCTCTTTGTTTTAAAGAGAAAGTTTTGTAAGCCACGAGTGTTCTGATCTTTTGTTTTGTTTATAACTTTCAAAATGTTTTACAGAACTTTGAGTCTTTAGACTATTGAGCCATAAAAGGTTTGGTTATGTACTGGTTGAGATTTCTTGGGATGTATATACTTTTCCCCTAAATACTGGGGATTTAAAGAATTGCACTAATTCTTAGAACTCCTTATGTAGTAGTGACAAATGCACACTTAATTTAAATTTTGTATCCTATTTTAAAGCTTATGTGGAGGATTATCTTCTGGTATCCTTTTAGAAAGCCATGCCCATCATAAGATGTAAGAAGAGAAATCATAGTTTTATATTTTAATGTAGATTCTCCTAAAATGGGCTGTTAAATAACTATATCTATACTCAGATATAGTGCATTGTCTCTGTGCTCCTTAAAATGTTATAAAGAGTTACTCTCAAAAAGGAGAATGAGAGGTGCCTTCTCTGTATTAGACGTACACACATCAGTTAAGTTGATGAATTGATTTAAACATTTAAATGAGAATAGAAATTATAATTAGTACCTGACCAATTGTGCCTAGACATTAAAGTATGTTCTCTTAAGTGCTTTCTGTTTGGTTAAATATCAGTATATTAAGCTTTTTTTCCTACAGATGTATGTACTGTTACAGAGACATTTTCCTCAACCTTTTTTTTTTTTTGGTACTGGGCCTTTATAAAACGAAATCTGTTCTGCTCTGAACAACATTTCTCCATGTGGAAATCACATCTTAATTGCTGAATCTCACTGCAGAAATTTATGTTGTAAAAAAATTTTCTGATGTGGCAGTAGTTGATATTCCTAAGGAACTAAATATCATACAGTTGATGTTTAACTCAACTTGGTACTGTAATACAGTTAGGTTTGAATAAATATTTTCATTAACTTAAAGTTTGAATTCTTTCATATTGGCAGTCATTCTTATTTAGGTATTTTGGTTATGTTCCTTTGCAAGTCAATTCTTGCATGCTTTTTCAGAAGTTTACATAATGCTGAGAATTACAGATTTTCTTTTCATTTAATTAATATGTATTTATATGTGCTAAGCACTAAGAATTCATGTACAAATAAAATAAGTTCACTTTGTTCAAGATTCTTAGTTCACTAGCCAGCAGCCACTAGATATGTCCAGAGACGGCTTGTATTTAGAGCTTTCATTTACGTTCAAGAGCAAAAACATAAACCCCATTTTACCTTCAAAGTCTAAGCATGCTGGACTAAATTGTAGTATTGTTATCTGGTAACCTGTTTTTAACTGTCAAATTCCAGTGATGACATTTTAGGATTAAAGTATACCACAAAGAACTTGAAGCTACTTTTACAACTACATGTAAAGATACACTCTTAATTTTGGACAGTACTTAGTGGTTGATGTCAATGTATGCTAAATCTGAAAAATCTTGTATTTAAAATTTGTGATTATTTTAGCCCTGGATATTGTTGGAACCCTTTAGTATGTTGAAATTGTACATGAGAAAAGCATCCATTAGCATTTAGCCAAAGGCTAGATGTTAGGACTAGTAGGGAGACCTGTATTTAATTTTGATGGGAGTAATTTCAAAGGCACATTACTATATATTCTGCATTGATCCATTTCTCAAGCTGCTATCTTTCAGCCTCAGGTCCAGCTCCTTGAAATTACATTATTTATTAAAAAGTAGTGAATGTACTTGTACTGGTAAATAAATATCTGTTTTGGTTATCAGTTACTTCCATAGGAGACATTTTAGACAGTGGAATTACCAAATCAAAAATGAGTGCATTTTATAGGATCTCAATACATTTTGCCAAACTCTTCCAGAAAATTAATTTATATTCCTACTAGCAAATTGTCATTTCCTCCATAGGATGCTTATGAAATATATTCAGCAATATCATCACTGGTTTCTAAATTCTAAATATCTGACTTAAGAAACCCAGCTAATCATAAAGGTATAAGATCAAATTTTGGCCTGTATTAAATTTATATACATACACTATATACTATGTCATACAAGTTTTTTGTGTCACTGATTAAATCATTATGGTTTTGTATTCATTGTGGCTTCTTATTTTTTAAGTGCTCACCCCTTTTATGCATCCTGGTTAACTTTAAAATCACCAGTATTATTTCAATTAAAATTCTATTGGAATAGTCATTTGAAGTACATTAACCCTATACTACCTGGTACTAAAAGAAAATGGTAATGGCAGTATGGTATCCTATATAATAAAAGGCTAATATGCAAATCAACCATACAGCGGGACGACCAGTCTATGATGCGCACTGACCACCAGGGGGCAGACGCTCAATGCAGGAGCTACCCCCTGGTGGTCAGTGCACTCCCACAGGGGGAGCGCCGCTCAGCCAGAAGCTGGGCTCATGGCTAGCAAGCACAGCGGTGGTGGCAGCAGCGCTAAGGGTGTCTGACTGCTGGCTTAGGCCCGCTCCCCCCGGGGAGCGGGCCTAAGCCATCAGTTGGACATCCCCCGAGGACTTCCCAGACTGCGCGAGAGCGCGGGCCAGCCTGAGGGACCCTCCCCACCCCAAGTGCACGAATTTCATGCACCAGGCCTCTAGTATCTAATAGTTTTTTGGGGGAGGGGTTGTGTTTTTTTAATATATTTTTTATTGATTTTTTACAGAGAGGAAGGGAGAGGAATAGAGAGTTAGAAGCATCGATGAGAGAGAAACATCGATCAGCTGCCTCTTGCACACCCCCTACTGGGGATGTGCCCGCAACCAAGGTACAAGCTCTTGACCGGAATCGAACCTGGGACCCTGCAGTCTGCACGCCGATGCTCTATCCATTGAGCCAAACTGGTTAGGGCTATCTAATAGTTTTATAGTTATTTCTATTCTCATAAATGTCTTGCTAAACTGAGTATTTTGTTTATTGCTGTTTTTAGGGAACTCTTTATTACATTGTTTTAACTGGTTATTGCTTTCTTAGTTAATGTAAAATTTTTATGGAAGCATAACATAGAACAAGTGCACCAACTATTAAGTTCAAACAGTTCAATGAGTTTTCTCAAAGTATACACAATCACTTGATCAGGTATGGAACATTTCCAGCACCCTGGAATTCCCTCACACTTCCTTCTCGTAACTGCTAGCCTCAGGGGTAACTTTTCCTGACTTCTAGCATCATAATGTCAGCTTTTCTTTTTTCTTCTTTAACCATGGATTCCTGCACTATATAGTCAACCTTTCATAACTTTTGCTGAATATAATGAGATGTCATTATCGAAGCTGAAGTATTAACAGGATCTACAGAGGGAAAGGTTCTGATTCCAAGAATTAATTTGTCCCCATCTGACACTGGCCTTCCATTTAAATTGGTTCGATGACGATTTCCCATGATGCCAGCATCTGTGATGACTATTAATAAATCGCAAGGACAAACTCTAGACACTAGAGTAGGCATATTCCTACCTGAACCCATTTTCGCACATTGTCAGTTATATGTTGCTTTCTCTCAAGTTTAAAGAGCATGTGACGTTACAGTTAAAGTTCTAAGTACTTCATCACAAGGGAAATTAGTCGAGCACTCTGAAAGTGTTTTCACTCTTAATGTGTACAGGGAGATATTAGAATAAGTTGAATCACTTTATCAGTCATTGTTTGCATCACTGTTATTTTTCTATCATGTTTTTGTTGTTTTCATATCATGTTTTTGTCGTTTTTATATCCTGCCTCTGTTGCTGTTATATCCTTTTGTTACTGTTTATTAATAAATTTATATATTATTTTCATATACATTTTACTAATTTCCTTTCATCTCTCACACTTCTATTATAGAGAAAGGGCAAATAGCAATATTAAAATATTTATGCTAATTAATTCCCTTTTAATGTGCACGAATTTTGTGCACCGGGCTACTAGTATTTAAATAAACAGTATATGTAAAGGATTTAGATCAATGTCTGGAACATAATAAGCACTCTAACATCTAGCTGCTATTCTAGCTTACACTGTTTCTTATTTCTATTTTCTGCAGCAGTTTATTTGGAATGGGAAACAACTGTTCCTTGGAACTAAATCACCGAGAAATCATCTAGGCCTGGAGGCTTTTGCAGAAGAAACTCAGTTTTTACCACTAATTTCCTCCCGGCTGATTGGTCTAGTCAGGCTTTTAGCTTATTCTGAATTAAATATTTTTTCCTCTAATATTTACTTGTATTCTCTTTAAATTAGATGTGATTAATTTTTTTCTGACTGAATCACCTCTTATATTTGACAATTGAATACTCTTCTTTTTTGTTGTTTTTTGGGGGTTTTGTTGTTGTTAATTCTCACCTGAGGATATTTTCCCATTGATCTTTAGAGAGAGTGGAAGGGCGGGAAGAAGGGGGGAGAGGGAGAGAGATGCATCAATTGGTTGCCTCCCACATAATGCCCCAACCTGGGCAGGGATCAGACCTGCAACCCAGATGCATGCCCTTTTCTGGGAATCAAACCCACAATGCTCTAACCACTGAGTGACACCTGGCAGGGCATGTTTTTCTTTCTTTTAAAAAAAAAGTTTTTATTGATTTCAAAGAGAAGGTGTGTAGAGGGAGAGAGAGATAAGAGAGCAACATCAATTGGCTGCCTCCTGCACACCCTTAAGAGGAATCAAGCCCGCATATGCCCGACCAGGAATTGAACTGGCCACCTTTTTTGGTGCACTGGACTACACCCAAGCAACTGAGCTATGCAACCAAGGTAACGACTATACACTGAGTGGCCAGATTATTATGACCACCTGACATTTATAGGCAAATTAGCTATAATTTCGAGCTGAAGTTGCTAGAGGGCCAGATCGTTATAAACGTCTGAATAGCACAACATACCTAAGTATCGTTGCTGATCAGGTTCATCCTATCATGTTGATGGCGTATCCCAATGGAGATGGCTTCTTCCAACAAGACAATGCGCCATGACACGGTGCTCGTATTGTGCAGGAGTGGTTTCAAGAACATGAGGGAGACTTTACCTATCTTAGGTGGCCCCCACAATCACCAGATCTCAATCCAATTGAGCATTTGTGGGATGAAGTTAAAAGCCATCAGGCAGCTGGTTCCACAACCATCAAATCTCACAGAACTGGACAGTGCTATTCATCAGGCATGGTGTCAGATTCCTCGCATCACCTTTCAACATCTCGTGGAGTCAATGCCAAGGAGAATTGCCGCAGTATTGAAGGGAAAAGGTGGCCCAACGAAGTACTGATGGGCTGGTCATAATAATCTGGCCACTTAGTGTATACTTTTCTAATTGGCTAATTTCTGTTTCCTATTTTTTCAGAGTTTTTTCACAGCTTCTTAAATTGAATAAAGAATTGTCTGATTTTTTTTTCCCTTTTAAAACCATGTAAACCATTTAATTAAGGCAATGAATTTAGTTCCATCTTCTTAAGATTCAACTCTTTGTCAGGCTCTCCAGGAAAAGCATCAAAAGTAATTCTGTCTCCAGGAACAGACACAGTCGGAGGTGCCAAGATTTCAGCTTTCTCCGGTGAACCAGCACATACTAGTATCACCATTGGTTGAGATAGTATTCCCCATTCCCCTCATCTTTGCAAGTTTTAGGTTACAAAGTAAAATCACCATCCAATTTTGCATCTGGTCAAGAGGAACATGATTCACCAGGCTACTGACAACTATTCTTGGGACTGCTTCTCCAACATCTTCTTCTACGTGCAGAGTCTGCATCAGGATGTTTTTTAGCAGTGATGATACAACAATTTGAAGATCCTCACGGGAAACATCTGTTGGTTTAGAGTTAGCACTTCCTGCTACTGGTGGTGGTTTTCTCCTTTTTCTCTCCTTTATTTTACGTTTCTCTTTCACCTTCCTTTCTTCTCCTTTTACCTCTTCTTTGGCACCAGAAGATATGGGTGTGATTGGCATAAATTGTATTACATTTACAGAAACCATGGAATGAGCTTGCAGTGGAGTACCAGACGGAAATGGTATTTGTTTCACTCCATGTTTAATTTCTGCCTGAATTAGCTCTTGATTCTATTTCTTCAATTTAGAATTTTTGACTCGAAGTTTCTTCTCTCAAAGTCGACTGTAAAGTTGTTTTTTCCTTAAGAGCAACTTCCTGTTTAAGATATTCAATAATTTGATCTGCCTCTGCACCTTTCTGTTCCAGTCTCTTCAGAACAGTATCATTGGTTGCCATTTTTGCCAAGAAACGGCAGAAAATCTTCCTTGGTCTCTAGGGTTCCTCTTTGACGTATACTTTATGTTTATGTTCTTCAGACTTTGTTCCTATTGTCTGGCCTTTGTCCACTCTCTGCAGTAGGATAGTCACCTTTTCTTTTTAAAAAATATATATATATATTTTATTGATTTTTTTTTATAGAGAGTTAGAAACTTCGATGAGAAACATCGATCAGCTGCCTCCTGCACACTCCCTACTGGCAGTGTGCCTGCAACCAAGGTACATGCCCTTGACTGGAATCGAACCTGGGACCCTTCAGTCCATAGGCCGATGCTCTATCGACTGAGCCAAACCAGTCAGGGCAGGATAGTCACCTTTTCAATCCCCAATTTAGTTTTATTTCAAGTTTGGTTTTGGGTTGTCCACCTACTCCACTATCTTGAAACCCCTGATGTCATCAATCTTAATGTAGAATTTTATCACTATGAGCTTCCCCATAACTTTTGATATATTTTCATTTCTGTCAAGATATATAGTGGAACCTCAGTTCTCAAACTTAATTCATTCCAGAAGGCTGTTTGAAAAACAAAGCATTTTATAATAAATTTATTTTGTTTATGAACAAAAAGGACATGAAATGTAAATGAAAATTTAACAGAAAGGAAATGAAATGTATAGTAAAAAGTGAAAATTTAGCTGGGCTGGCATGGCTTAGTGGTTGAGCATCAATCTATGGACTAGGAGGTCATGATTAAATTCCCAATCAGGGCACATGCCTGGGTTGTGGGCTCCATTCCCAGTAGGGGGTGTGCAGGAGGCAGCCAATCAATGATTCTCATCACTGATGTTTCGCTCTCTGAAATCAATATATATATATAAATATATATATATATACACACACACACACACACACACATATATGTAAAAGACAAAGAGTTACCAAATGTATAAGAAAAGAACCAAATCAATGCTGCCAATGAGACTTACTTAAGCTTTAAGGACACATGCACTGAAAGTAAAGGAACAGAAAAAGATATTTCATGCATGGAAAGCAACAGAAAGCACTTGGACAAAATAGACTTTAAGGCTAAGACTTTAATAAGATACAAATATCTCATTTCAACAATGGATAGAACATGTTAACAGTGGTAAACTGATCGAGCCCACAACTGGGCATGTGCCCCAACCAGGAATCGAATCCTTGATGTCCTGGTTCATAGGTTGATGTTCAGCCATTGCACAATGCCAGGCAGGCAACTTGTTGTCTTTTGATTAAAGGATTTCGTTCTTTATACTCATAGTTATTGATAGATACGGACTTACTAGTACATAGTTGTTCTCCAGCTGTTTTATCATTTATCTCTTACTCTCTTCCATGGTAATTGGATGTTTTCTTATAATGCTGTGCTTAGATTCTCTTTATCTCTTGTGTATCTACTGTAGGTTTGTGCTTTGTGTCTACCATGCTGACATAAAATACCTCGTGTTTATAAGTATTTTCAGCTCTGTAATTTAATGCATACTACAAGTCTACACTTTTACTCTCCTCCCCCACCATTGGTTTTGATGTCACAATTTATATATTTTCCACCTTGTATACCTATTAATTTTTTGAAGTTACACCTTTTTAATATTTTGTATTTTAACCTTTATACTATTGTTATAAGTGATTTACTGTACACCACCATTGCATTAGAATATTCTGAATTTATCTGTCACAATGAGACTTATACTTTTAAATGTTTTCTTGTTACTAATTTGTGTTCTTTTGTTTCAGGTTGAAGAAGGTTCTTTAGCATTTCTTACAAGGCCAGTATACTAATGATGAACTGCAGCTCTTGTCTGGAAATTATCATTCCTTCAATTCTGAAGGACGGCTTTGCTGGTAAAAGTCTTTTAGTTGGAAGTTTTTTCTTTCTACACTTTGAATATATCATGCCACTCAATCTGATCTGTAAAGTTTCTGCTAAAAAATCTGCTTATTGTCTTACTGTGGTTCCCTTGTACATAACAGATTGTCTCTTGCTGCTTTTAAGATTCTCTCCTTATCTTTTACTTTGACAATTTAATTACAATGTGTCTTAGTGTGGGGCTCTCTGCATTCCCCTCCCCCCCCCCTTTTTTTTTAACTCTTTGGGCTTCCTTGTATGGTTTTTTGTTTCATTTCCCAGATTGTAAGTTTTCTTGCCATGATTTCTTTGAATAAGCTTTTCCCCCCTTTCTCTCTTCTCCTTCTGGGACCCCAGTAATGCATATATTTGCCCATTTGATTATGTCACATAAAGCCTCTAGCCATCTTAACTTTTGATTTTGAACCCCTCTGTTGAATTTTCTAGTGTAATTATTGTCTTCTTCAATTCTGTGTGATACTTATATTTTCTTTCTCTTTTAAAATTCTCACTTTATGCATTTATTCTCTTAACCTTGTTGAGCATCTTTATGACCATCAATTGGATTTTTTTATCAGGTAAATCACTTGTCTCTTTTTAATTAAGGTCTGTTTCTGGAATGTTTTTTGTTCTTTTGTTTGGAACATATTCCTCTATTTCTTCATTTTCCTTTACTCTCTGTGTTGGTTTCTGTGCACTAGATAAAACAGCCACCTCTCCCAGTCTTAACAGAATGATCTTGTAGGACACAATCAGCCTGGCCAGAGCTCCTTATTGCCTCTTAAACTGTAGCAACTGTCCTTGTGGCCTTCTTTGTTTTTAGTTGCTCCCAATAGCTGAAGATGTGCCAACAACCAGTGTCCTAAAAGGGAGGATTGAGGTGAATACCTAGATGCAGGCTGATTAGAAACTAACATCAGGCAGCAGCTGGGAAAGGATATATTAGGGCTCTTCTGGGCAGATGGCAGTGGGCAGTGGGGGTTAGCACCCATTAATACCTGCTGCTTTGCTTTAGTTTTTGTTGGATCCATGAGTGCAAGCCTTGTTGGCTATCAAAGCCGGGTGATCCAAGGGCCTGATCTTTGAGTAGCACCTAGGAAAGTTGAGTTGCCACACAGGTGTGCAAGCTCCTTCTAGGAAATACTGATTTGTAGTGGGCATAAGTCAGAAGGCAGAGGTGGCATCTACTGACATCCCTGTTCTCGAGGGAGGATCACAGTCAACTCCTAATTGTGGGCTAAATTTTCCTGTCATCCTCCATAAAAAAATTGTTTTTGCACCCTTCTACTTGTCATTGGATTCTGTATAATTTTACTTTGAATAATCTTTTCTTTATACAGAATAGTGTTGGTCCTATTTTAACACTTTCTTATTTTTAATAAATTTAGAAGTTACTTCTCTTTATACTTTACTAGAGGCCTGGTGCACGAAAATCATGCACTCAGGTGGGGGGGGGGGTTCCCCAGCCTGGCCTGTGCCCTCTCACAGTGCGGGAGCCCTGCGATTGAGCTCCCCAAAGAGGTAGGCCCCGCCCACCCATCTGAGGCTCCTCAATGGATTGTCCCAAAGAGGTAGGCCGGAGCCGGGAGTCCCGCCACACAGAGCCGCTGGGACCCAGCTCCACACAGAGACGCGGGATCTGCCTCCACGCTACGCACGCTGGGTCAAGTCCCTGCCCACCTGCGCGCAGGCAGCCTCTTGATGACAGATTGTTACGGCGTGAAGGCATCACGGCATGAGGGCATGGCGACCACATAGGCTTTTACCCATGGTCGGCAAACTGCGGCTCGCGAGCCACATGCGGTTATTTGGCACAAAATACCACGTGCGGGCGCACATACAGTGCGATTGAAACTTCGTGGCCCATGCTCAGAAGTTGGTTTTCGGCCTGGGCGAGTCTATTTTGAAGAAGTACTATTGATATTTGGCTCTGTTGACGAATCAGTTTGCCGACCACTGGTATAGATAATTGGCCTTTTCAACTCTTACTTTCTATAGTAATTTAAAATGTAGAACTTGTTTTTATTTATATGGGCATTTGCCCTTATTTAGCATATACAGTTGACCTTGAACAACATGAGTTTGAGTTGTGTTGGTTCACTTATATACAGATATTTTTCAATAACTACCTGTACTGGGAGTCTGTGGATATGAAAGGCCAACTGTATGCATTGGTCTATGCCATTTCATATAAGGCACTTGAACATCTTTGTTTTTTTGTAGCCACAGGGGGTCCTGGAACCAATCCCCCGCAGATACTGAAAGACAACTTAGTTCTTGGGGAATCAAGTTATATGCAGGTTTTCTTAAAATATATTTTTGTTGATTTCAGAGAGGAAGGAAGAGGGAGAGATAGAAACATCAATAATGAGAAGAATCATTGATCACCTGCCTCCTGCACCAACACCCTTACTGGAGATTGAACCCACAACCTGGGGATATAACCTGACTGGAAATCGAACCATGACCTCATGGTTCATAGGTTGGCACTCACCCACTGAGCCACACCGGTCAGGCTATATACAAGTTTTTGACTGCACAGGAAATCGGCCCCCTAACCCCTCATTGTTCAGCCAACTGTAAAATGTCTATTACTATTTTACCACTAACTAACCTTCATCCCCAACCAGTCCTTAATCATTTAAAAACTTTTTAAAGTTTCACATTCCTGATTTCTTAATTTTGATTATTTTTTTCATCATTCTTTGAGGAAACATCACAGTGCTATATTTCTAAACTATTGTGTGCCCAGACACCTTCTAGTGGCTTTTATTACTTTACTAGAGGCCCGATGCACGAAATTTGTGCAAGAGTAGGCCTTCCTTCCCCCGGCGGCCGGCACTGGCTTCCCTCTGGCATCAGGACCCAGGCTTACCTCCAGTTACCAGCAGGCACCCGGGAACCGGGCTTCCGTCTGGCCGCCAACAGGTACCCAGGACCGAGGCTTCCCTCACAGCCCCGGCTTCATCCAGAAGGTCGCCCAGAAGGACATCCGGTCTAATTAGCATATTATGCTTTTATTATTATAGATTCCATTAATCTGTATTTGTTGTTAATCCTCACCCAAGGATATTTTCCTCAGTGATGGCGAACCTTTTGAGCTCGGGGTGTCAGCATTTTGAAAAACCCTAACTTAACTCTGGTGCCATGTCACATATAGAAATTTTTTTATATTTGCAACCATAGTAAAACAAAGACTTATATTTTTGATATTTATTTTATGTATTTAAATGCCATTTTAACAAAGAAAATCAACCAAAAAAATGAGTTCGCGTGTCACCTCTGACACGTGTGTCATAGGTTCGCCATCACTGCCCTACCTACTGGTAAGCCACTAAGTTTGCACACTGGCATTTCAAATATATCTTTATAACAAAAATAGGAAACTTCTGAAGATTAACAAAAATTTAAAGCAGAAGAAAAAATTTATTTATAATTTCAACGTGTTTGGGGATTTGATCTTTTCATCTTATTTAGAAAAAGTTAAAATAGAAAATAATAAAAAAGGAAACATTCTTTGGAGTATAAGCTGATCCAAGGAAGTCAGCCACACTGGTGACAGGTCGTCTTACAACTTCTGGATTAGTATGGCAGAAGCCCCACCTCCTCCATTGCAGATACTGGCAAGACCATATTCTCCCTGCTTCAAGGCATGAACCAAATGAGTGACAATCCTGGCTCCAGACATCCTAGGAGTAAGAAAGCATTTTGATTCTTTAATGAAGTAATAGAATGAGTAGGTATCTAAAAGTTCTTTTCTAAATTCTTTAAAAGTTTATTATCATTAATCATAGCTCAATTTTGTTACTTTTCTTAAACTTGGGAGACTCATTTTAATAATGGTTACGGTTTTCTAAAGGCCCAAGCATAGACTGTAATCTTAAATCTTCTAAATAAAATATTAATTTTCAAGCAACAAATGTTACAGATCTGTGTTCAATGTTCAGTCCTACCCTTATGAAGGGTAGGAAAGAAATCTATTTAACACAGAGTAATAGGCGTTATCATGAAACACTTTTAAACAGAAACACAACGGCACCCATTAACCTACTTAGAGATTTTTCTTTGTGATTTTACCTACCCAATTGGATGTCCCAGAGAAACAGCTCCTCCATTGATATTCACTTTTTGAGGGTCAATCTCCAGCATCTTAATGTTTGCTAGTACAACCAGACTAAAGGCTTCATTTACTTCCCACATTGCAATGTCATCTTTTTTCACTCCTGCAGCTTTAAGAACCTAAAAAATTTTTACATATTATGTTCAAGTAATTAACAATCAAAACTTGTTTTCTTGAAATTCTGCAATTTTGGTTTTATTTCCCATATATTTCATTTTATTTTTCAGTTACCTTTTTAAAGAACTGGGCCTTGGTTTCATTGATCTTTTGTATCATTTTTCTAGACTATTTCAGTGTCTTCTTTCTACTTACTTTGGGCTTTGTTTGTTGTACTTTTTCTAGTTCCTTTGGTTATAATGTTAAATTGTTTGTTTGATTTTTTTTAAATCCTCAATCAAACATATGCTTTTCATTGATTTCAGAGAGAAAGCAGGAGAAACACTGATATAAGAAACATCGTTTGGTTGCCTTCTGTACATGCCCCAACTGGATTGAACCTGCAGCCTGGGTCTGTGCCCTGAGAATCAAACCCACCACCTTTCAGTGTACGGGAAGATGCTCTAAACCCGTGGTCAGCAAATGGCGGCTCACGAGCCACATGCAGCTCTTTGGCCCCTTCAGTGTGGCTCTTCCACAAAATACCATGTGCGGGCACGCACATGTACAGTGCGATTGAAACTTCGTGGCCCATGCGCAGAAGTCGGTATTTTGTGGAAGAGCCGGTATTTTGTGGAAGAGCCCCACACTCAAGGGACCAAAGAGCCGCATGTGCCTCGCGAGCTAAGGTTTGCCGAGCTGCAGTTTGCCGACCACTGCTCTAAACCAACTGAACCACATGAACCAGGGCTTTTATTTTCTTGATTCTTGAGGCAAGCCTCTGTTGCTGTTAATTTCCCTTTCAGAGTTGCTTTGGTTGTGTCCCATAGATTTTGGATCATTTTGTCTCACAGTATCTTGATTTCTTCCTTGATCCATTGTTCACTCATTCATTGTTTAGTAGCATGTTATTTAGCCTCCACATGTCTGTGCTTTTAGTTTTATTATAACTGATTGCTAGTTTCATACCATGGTGCAAAAGAAATTATGCTTCACATTTCAATCTTAAGTGTATTGACACTTGTTTTGTAGCCTAACATATGGTCTATTCTATAAAATGTTCCATGTGCACTTCAGAAGAATTTATATTCTACTGTGTTGGGGTGACTTATCTTTAAAATATTAATTACATCCTTCTGTAATGTGTCATTTAAGGCAACTATTTCCTTATCAGTTTTCTGTCTGGATGTTCTGTGCATTATGTCATTGGGATTCTTCATTTCTGACTGGTTCACTTTTATGCTTTCTGTTTGAAGTTCTCACTGATTTCATCTAATTTTCCCCTAAGCTAATTGAGCATCCTTATAACCAGTGTTTTGAATTCTGTACCTGGTACACTGCTTGTCACCATTTCATTAGTTCTTCCTCTGCAGCAGCCGTTCTCAACCTGTGGTTCGCGACCCCTTTGGTGGTCAAACGACCCTTTCACAAGGTTGCCTAAGACCGTCCTGCATATCAGATATTTACATGACGATTCATAACAGTAGCAACATTGCAGTTATGAAGTAGCAACGAAAATAATTTTATGGCTGGGTCACAACATGAGGAACTGTATTTAAAGGGCCAGAAGGTTGAGAACCACTGCTCTGGAGGATTAATCTGTTCTTTCATGTGGGATGTTCCTTTTGTCTCCTCATTTGGGCTATATATCTCTGTGTATTAGGTAGAACTAGTACATCTCCTGGTCTTCAGAGTAGCCCCAGGTGGGGCCCAGCCTCCTAAGCTGGTCGCTCTATGGGTGTCCTTTGTGTGAGCTGTATGTGCCCTCCTATAGTAGTTGAGCCTCATTTGCTGTTGGCTTGTCAGTAGGTGGCATTGACCCTCATGAGGGCTTGCCATGATCACAGCAGACAAGCTCTTTTGCAGGATCAGACCCCACAGAGCAGGAGTCACTTTAATCAGGCTTTGGTGCCAGCCAAGTCCGCCCTTCGGTGTGTCATTTGTGGAGCTGGTTGGGTGATGCTCTCGCATAGTCTGAAGCTGGCCACCAGGTATGTTGGTTCTAGAGGCCCTTGGAGGGGCTTTGGTGATGTCAAGGTCAGCCATCCTTTGTTCCTGGCTTGGTGCT